GGTGAGCGCTGTCCCTGGTGCTGAGCAGCGCCCGCCGCCCCAGTCCAGCTCCAGGGCAGGTTTAGGAAAGGGGGGGGGGGGAAATATATATCTAAAAATCAACCCTCAGTAACAATTGCCGTGGTTGTCTCATTTGCCATGCACGAGTGCACGAGCACATTTTTTTTTTACAAATACATTAAATACACAGAGCTGGGTCTTAGAGGAAACTATTAGACAAGGTTAACTCCCAGCATATCTACCTGCTCTCTGATACAACTAAGTGGCTGTGAATACAGAATGTATGTGTGCATCCACACTAGATCTTAAGTCTCGGTCTCCTTGCTCGGCTAGTGGTATCGCTGCTCCTGTCATCCCTTACTGAATCATTTTTGTACAAGGAGACATTAGCTCTGATTATTAAATAAGGAGCAGACGGGACTTGCTGAGCAGAGCCCAAGTGATTTGTCCCAAGGTCACACAGAAAAGTGTATGGCTGAGCTAAGCCTTGCTGTCTCTAGAAAACAAATACATCCCCCCTTTCCATTATCCCTTCCTGGCAAGACAAATCCCCACTGGTGAACAGAAGGGCTATATCACACATCACCAAGCCCAGGTATTGCAGTACCCCAGTTACCCCGCAGCCCCCTACATCTCCTGCTCCTGGGGAGGGGTCAGTGCCCACTGCCCTCCAGCCTTCCAACACGCTGATGCCCCAGCAGCCCTTGGAGGTGCACCTCACCGGTTGGCTAGCTGCCCCCTCCTCCCCCCCACCCAGGAGCCGTGCATGTCCTCCGGCAAGCAGGGCATGGAGGAAAAGCAGGAGGGAGGGCGGGAGAAAGGGGAAATAGTTCCTCCTGCATCCACAGGGCTTCTGTCTGCAGCCCAGGGCACACAAATCCCCTTTCCCACCCCACAGTATTACCTTGTCGGTAGCAGTAATTGCTTCTTTCTACAGTGGTGGCAAAGAGGTCCTTTTGGTGGCAATAATCAAGATGGGTAGGGGTAGGCACCTTCTATTTTCAGCCACGGCAGAGATAGCATTCCTCGCACAGACCTTCTGGAGCTGAATAATCCTCAAATGCCTCTGCAAAGATCACCAGCAGGTGAGCCCCACTCGGCTAGTGTTGTCACTCCTCCAGCTATGGGCACATCTTGTTTTCTTCTGTTCACAAGCGAATGCTGAGGACCGAGTATCCTACCCCCGCGAATGCATGCACATAGACGCAAGCCATGCAACACTGTTCTCTCAGCATCGCCTAAGTCTCATTTGCAAGAGGCGTGAATGGTCCCTGGATTTAAGGGGGGCGGGGGGTAGGGGGAGTTAGGCGTGAGGAGGAGGAATAAACAAACAAACAAACAATGAAACAGATAGGTCTCTGCTGTCTGTCAACACAGCTTTAGTCTTCCTAAATACTTGATGCAGCTTGACCCACCTGCTTAAACACCTTCGCCCCTCCTCACGGCAGCAACCTCTCTGTGTTTCTAAGGGACTAAACCTGCATTCTGCCCTGCGAAGAAGGCTCTCCAGGTGCTCTGAAGGCTGCAAAGTCCCCTTGTAAACCGACTTTCCCCCGCCCGCATCACCCTCCTCCCGCAAGTAAGAAAGCGGCGCGCGGCTCGGGACAGGGTCATCCGAAAGAAAGAAAGGGAAAAAAAAAAAAAAAAAAAAAAAAAAAAAAAAAAAAGAGGTAGGGTCTTTTTAAAACCGAGTCGCGACCAAGAGTTCCAAGAGTTTACCCCTGTGATCCCGGTGGAATTTTGCGAACTGGCTCGGCCAAAGTTTTCCTGTCCCCCCGGGGCCGCGCTGCAGGGCGGGCCGGGCGCTGCCGCACCTGCGGTGAGGGGCTGAGGGGGGGGGGGCTCCCCTTTGCACTGGGAGAGCACCCAGCTTCAGTGCAACTTTTTAGTGCCACCAAGTGGCATAGATCCCTCTAGGAAACCAAGGAGCCTGCCAGCCCTGGGCTTTGCCTGCTGCTCCCTGGCAAGAGGAGAGAGAGGAGGATGCTAAGAAAACGACCACCACCTCTACCCTCTCACACACACACAGAGCGGTATCTATCAGGAAGGAGAAGCCGTTTGCCGCTGGAAGGACAGGCTGTCCTCTCCAACCCTCGCTGCTTCCCTTGGCTGCAGGGCGACAGCAACGGGCACGGAGAGACGGGGAGCGATGCTCCTGCCAAG